CCTCTTGCACGAAAACGAGCTCGCCACTATAGGCGACCCCAGTAACAATCAAAAACCTTCAGAATTTTTGTTATATTGAAAATCTTTGAAATATGCACCACAGCGTCCGACAGGTCACTGTACTGCGTAGTGAATATGTGATCGTGTTAATTCTCAGTATGACTATTAATACATGGAAAAAGTTATTCTATATTAAATTAATTATATTCGGAATCAGGATTACACCCTGCTCTGATTATTACACTGGAAAATCAACCATAAGGAGGGTCCAGGCGAAATGTAGCCATATAAATGCTAAGATCTTTAGCGTATTTATATGCAAAATACAGTGAATTAAACAGATTATTAACGAAGTATATGAATACGGTAAAACTATGCCGATAGAATCCCTGATAACACAGTGTGATCTGGAAAACTGTAAGAAGACAAACCTTTAAGACGACGGCGATGAAGAGTTATTCACAATCACGCAGGATTCAAATAATTATTTTAAATGCGGTAGAAGCGTAATAATTTAATTAATATGTAAATGACACATTCCACGAGTAATATTTTATCTGCTACAGGCAAATTCTTTAATCAGAATTGCAAAGCAATAATTTATGAGAACAATGTAAGTACATATAGTATGACAAGTTTAAATACCATTTTTCAAAATATTTAAGATTTTAGTACATTTATAATCCAGAAACTGACTTTCACACGGTGAACAATCGTCCACTGTTTAATTATCAAATTTTATGGAAGTGTCACCTTGTTAGCGCCCCGTGCAGCACCTTCTACAGACTGTTTCAGCAACGCAGCTTCGTCGTCCGGAAGACCCACGTAGTCACAGTTAGTGCAAATAATCCTACAGCTGTGGTAATTGAGCCTTCCGATCAAAGATGGATTTTTACGACCGTTTTTATCGTCTTCCGATCCCAAGTCCAACGACTGTTAAGGAATCAATTTAAATTAAAAAGGACAACCGCCAGAGCTTGGCAGCCGCATACCTCACACATGTCTTGCATTTCGTCCACAGGGACTAGCTGCTTTTCTTCAGTGGACATTAAAATGTGACGCAGCTGATTTTCCATATCTAAAAGAACGAACGATTAATTTTTGTTCTACGCCAGGTATCAAGAGATATGTTTACGGTTTGATGACAAAAAGCAGATGTTAGGGAAGTATGGAGGGAATCACTTTGCTTCATCATTTGCAACATAACGGTTTCCATAATTGTTGCCTTACGTCCAAAGCATACGCAGTGGTGTGGATAATTAACCAAAAGATCACATGACGATGAAGTATGACAAGAGCAGTTTCACAGAGTTGCTGAGGTCGGTGCAAAGGTTTGTCATAAAACTGAGAACGGCTAGAAAGAAACTGAAATCTGGACGAGTTGTGGGATCTAGCTTTTAAATAAGTCTCTGTAAGTGAAGAACACTGTAACCAGGAAAAGAAAGTTTGTCAACGTTAGAATGTTGGTCTTCCTTCACTTTCATGATTGGGCCATTTTGGAGCCCTCCTATTCATGAATTTGATGCAGCAGTACTGATCTCTGTTTCTATGCCGTCAGCAGGAAGTGCTTTATTTCTTAAAGGAAGAGTCTATAGCCATTTATCAAGTGTAGCACAGTGCAGTCTCCTGTTTCCTATCCACATTATGGTACTCACAACCTGAGAAGGAAAAAGAGCAAGTGACTCCGACAGTCTTGAACTCAGGACTGATGGGTTCTAATTTTGACGCCCACTTACTGACCAACCCCGGTCTCAAGTAATGTGCAGGAAATTCCTTGTTTAAGTGAATGCTTGAATAAGACAAAGATTGCCCTTGAGCGGAATCGAATCCTGCACCTGCTTTGCTCGGACCAGACCTCTTAAGCAACTGTGGCAACACACTGCCTACCAGGAATTCAACGAGGACAACGGCTAATGGGGTAAACAGGAAGGTGCTCTGGTCAGAACAAGTCAGCAAATGCACAAAGATCACCATTCCCTACTTTAGGACCGCTAAACCCTGACAGAAGGCTGATACTATGTCGACAACCATCAAAATCGTCTATTGAATTGTCAAAAAGGAGCGAAATTGCAAGTTTTGTTAAAATAGCAATATCAGCTGCAAATTTTAACATAAACAATTCAGCGAAATGAAGATGTAAGGTCTTATACCGCTGTGCATTAAATATACCACGTTCAGATGTATTTGAAATATATAACCAACAGAGTCGGCATGAATAACGCAAAATTTTAGATTTAATAACTGTACAAGTCACATCTCTTCCTGCATTGTAGCGATGTTTCCAAGAATATTACGTGTCAGTGGAATACCGTTAATAACGGTATTAGTAAAGCATTATTTATGATGTCTTACTACTTTATAAGGCACAGGAGACGATGACGAAAATATAAACTACAGGAAAAAGGAAATGGGCCTAATGCACAGCATTCAAAAACAGCACTATCTTATACCCTGGTTATCAACCTTTTTTTCAGCGAACAATTGCACCACACCTAGGATTTACCTTCGCTTTCAATCCGTAAACAGTCAACGAACACCTCTTTCGGATTGAGGTTCGTCAAACGATCTCGATGGAAGTAATGAGAGTTGAAAAACTGAGTCCAGAACTGTTCCTCGGTCATTTGACTTGGTACGAGTTCCATGTGTTTCTGTTTCACTGAAAATTCCGACGTTGAATGACCACGTAAGACTTCGATTGAACTACGACCAAGTTCATTCTTACCAGTGGGGTATATGCGAAATATGGAAAGCATTATGTCATTAGTGATGTTGAACTTCACCTCATTGCAAGCGTCGGTCTGCGTCATGCCATTCTATAAATGAACAAATGGTGGCCAACGGTTAACAGTAGATCAGAAGGGCTGTAAACAAAAATAAACTTCATTTATTACCACAAACCCCGCTGAGACACCAGTCTTCTGAACTTTCGTCTTCGTCTGACTAGACAGTTCCTAAAACTATTCAAATTTTATTTTATCATATTTTACTTTAAAAAAGTATGACAGATGTAACTGAATAATGGAAGTCAGTGTTTCTGTAAGCAAACCAATAAGACAGTAGGAGAGTTTACAAGATCTTCAAGCTTATAGTGGTTGTTGGAGCCACATGCGCGACCTAATTTGATTAAAACGATTAA